TTCTTAACAACTGTCAGACCGTTGGACGAAAGACAATTAGTGAGGCGTGTGGTAGAAACTGTCTTCTCTTCCAAATTCGCTACTTCGTCGGCACATAAGCTAACGGCCAATGATATCTTCACGCGTCCAGGGTTGAAGCGATACGTAATCAAGCGGTATGATAAAGATTCCCTCGATATTACAGTGCCTGGTTTTCGGCGGCGATAGGGCAGTCACACCTGCTCCTAGAAAATGCTCGCTGCCGGATCGGAAAAAGCTCAGTGTAAGCCATATGTAAGCATAAGCTCAATTCGACGAGTGAAATGAGCTTCGGAAAGTCTGAACCATTCAGATGTTCAGTGGAGTCCGTCAATGCCGTCGTCATTAGTCACTGCCCATGCGCTCCAACATATAAAATGAAAATTATTGATGATATCCAGCTGCAGTCGTTGTGAATGATCAGTTCCAAATTACAGTCGACGCGATGGATGAGAAGCGCCAGCAAGTTTCACTGAGGTCAAACTAACGCGAGCTTAACTCGTCGCACAGACGAAAGTGACAAACAACCCCCCCTTATAGTTTGTAATACAATGCTGCCTAACAATCTTCAAAGTGCGAAGGTGGAGCCAGGTGACTAACGAACAACAGTTGTCCATTAGCGAATCAAGAAGCCCAGCAGAACTGATATCGGCGCTCAAATTAGTTTCACAAAACAGTAAAAACTGGAAATCTTGAACACGTGGTAACGTGTTGGAAAAGTCGGTATTAATAAATCTATCCGCCTCGTCTTTATAATTCAAACCATTAAATCAGAAGACCCCATGCATGTTCAAAATTTCCTATGTCAAATTTTACACTGAATCCGCTATGAAGTTTTGAAAATAAGATGGAAATCTCCTCAAACAAGTTTTAACGGAATCTGGTTAAACACGTCAGACTAGGCGGAGAATAAAGCCAAACGGCATGTACTATTTAATGCAAACCTGAGAAGCCGCATCAAATGAATCAGGCATGACCAGACAGGGCAACTGCACCATTCAGACACTACTGGAAAAAAGACTGCATAAGGCAGGGCGGATAAGAGAAATATGACAATGATCCAAAAGTCAGGGAAATGCAAGCTAAATTATTTTTGGGCGCTTGCTGAAGGAACCTCTACTATACCAAACTCAGATGAGACTTATAGTGAATTATCTTATAATTAAAAACTAATATACAGGAACCAATACACTGAATAAGTTTACCGGATTCAGGATCTGCCAACCATCTGCCAAATCGAACTGCTCTTCTCCAGAGGCACCGTCGTCGAACAGTTTCTCAACTTGGTTTCCAGAAAGTTCATTCTGAAATTATAGTAAATATGATAATCCGACGTCAGGCATTCAAAGGCGGTATGCCAATGTTCAAACAGAAACTGCAATAAATATATTAGTCCAGGCAAGCAGTCTGCCTAAATTTTGATAGAGCAAGCACGGAATCTTAGCATATTCAACACAGACTGCTACAAGTTCTACGAACACTGGGCAGGTGAAGGAGACAGTTTATAAGGGTTCTGGTTAGTATTCATTAATTATGGTTCAGATTAACGAACCACTGCCAAAGGATACAATTCGTTGATGCAACGAATCTACTGATGATCGCGAGCGTAGACGATACTGATATCAGTTACAAATGAAACGACCGAGATACAAAAAAACAAATGCAGCTTTACTACGAACGGTTAAAGAGTGAGTTCAGCCCGCAAATGCCCGATGTCACTTGTTTTCTATCATCTTCGGGATTGCCTTAAATATAGCACATCGTTCCACATACCGACAGTCCGAATGCTTAATCGCATCTCGACCGCTTTTATTACTCAGCTCGATTACTCAATTCAGCAACTTTTGAACGCTTAACTTTGTCTTACCCTGCATGTCTTAGATCAAAAAATCACTGCGACACTGGGAAAACCTGCGAACACCACAGCAACTCAAATGGCGTCAAATAACGAAGTCTTTCAAATGGCCAGCAATCAACAGCTTGATCCAGTACTGGGGTGTCTCGCAAATCCGAGATCTGACATTTCATGCAACAATCGCTGACTGAACTAGACATGGTCTGAAGGTTCGAAAATTGACCTTCAAAACTCCTTTGAACTGACATAAATACTGGCATAAAATAATGAGAAGAACAGTTAACAGATAACGACAGACGTTCTTCAAGATGAACCATAAATTTCAAGGGAAGCCATACGCCGGTAAACAGAATCTCTAGGCTAAATAAACTACGAAGCACTTGGCAACGGTATCTAATAAGAAAGTATTAAGAAAAGTAAGCGGACGACGTATTAACGAGATACAAAGAGACATTCAACAAGATATGAAAGAACGATAAGTGAGCTGTCTAGACCAATTACAACTACTTTGGCCTCATCGTGCCACAGGCTAACTGACGGCATGAAGCAAACTCTTTAGTTGAAACGAAAATGGAACAGAATGCGGGATCCTACAGCAAAGAAGGCTTAGTTGATTTCCCTCATTGACAAGCAATCTTCTCGTGTGCGCATCGAAGTTCGGTATAGAGCGGCACAGGCGGCAGAAACTGCAAAGGTGAGGACATAATATCGATCGGCAAATAAGATAATCAGCAGGGCAGACTCCACAAGTCTAAGCTGGCTTAGTACTGATAATGTACAAAATACAAAATGGAAATGGAAAGTTTGCAACAGTTCGGAACGGCGGTCTCAGCTTCACTCCATTGATTGGAGCCATCTGTGACAGTGTCTTGTTCATGGAGTCTGTGGCGAGATTCTGTATTTCTGTGTGACCAGTAAGACTCATGCTTCAAAAAATAGTATTCATTTATCTACCTCATAAGAATGAACGGCGAGTGATCCGACCGGAGTTCTAACCTATGATCTCTCGACTGAGTCCAACGCCCCACCGACTGAACTGACGCGTCAGTAGGAAACAACAGATGCTGACAGTATGGCTGAAAATCATCTAAATAGTGAAAAACACATGAGGAATGAGGAGAAGACTGAGGACAACTTAAATCCACTCTGCATATCGCCTAATACACCCCTGAACAGCATTTGGGGCCTAATGCAAACTCAACGTGGCCAAGGTGAATGCGGAAATAAAATCATGGAAAACTAACAAGGCGAAAGCGAAAGATGAAGTAGAATGTAATGTTAGTCTGAATAGTATATTATACGGTGCAACAGGTTGCCTGAAGAGATGAAAAGGCACCGAAGTCGTTAAAGCCCGATGTGCTTATTGGAAATGTTGAAAATGCATCAGAGACCGCAGCGAATATCGGAAAATCTCTTCTTAATTACAAAAATATGCGAAAAACTGGCAGAGAACAAGGCTAAGAATGAATACTCTGATTTTTGTCCAGGAAGCAGCACATTCCAGCACAGCGCACATAAATCTTTTTTCCCCTCCCTAGTTGACTGGGAGTGATCGCCTCAGTTGAGACTGTGGCAACTGCTGCGGAAATACTGGATGATTGGCCAGTTACTGAGACTGTTCAGATGCTAGCATCAGTACTCAGAGATCTGCGCAACTTTTATCTTCTGGATCTGTATGCGTGTCGGAATTCGCCACACCACATCAAAGAAACAAATCTTTTTTCATTAAATTTCTTATGAACTCATCTATTTCTTTCGTCAACAAATATAGGCTAAGCCCGGGAAAAGTTAAATACGCAATGCCGGACTGAACTACATGCATTATGTAGATGATCTCAACATTTAGTTTCCTTTTATGCTTACAAAATGCTATTGACAGATTCGCAGAAGCATGTGACGAGACTAGGATGAAATTACTCTAGACAAAACTATGGTTTGTATCCCTGGAAACGTCGGTCTGCTTCGCAGATTACTGAAACGTCGCTGAGGCGGATAGAGAGGCTTATGCATTACTGGGTAGCGTTTACAAGTAACGGTGGACAAATAAAGTGACATCAATCGGAAGTGGGTGAAATAATGCAGGAGCTAACCAGCTTCCTGGGGAGATATAAAAAATGCCGAGCAGTATTGCTAAACTACGTCTTCAAGCTTATGCAAATGACTACCCCCAACATCTCCGTAAATGTGAATTGTGGCGGAAACAGTGCGATTAGGGAAACAAGCAGTAAAATGAGGTTCCTTCTAATGATTGACGAGACTCAAAACAATCCAAGATACGCTTACTCATGTTTCATGACAATTACGATGCCTTAAATACGTGGGCAGGGTGCCGTTGTAACGATGGCATAAAGAACTCCACTGGCGCCAGATGAGAAAATGGTTAGAGTATACGGTCGCGTCTTGGAGCCCTGTCCGTAGTGCTGAAGCCGCTGCCGAAATTTCACAAGCATAGGAAAAGTGTTTTGAAACTGCATGCCATAAAAAAGAAAAGGAATAGTGGGTTGCGAAGACAAATGAATGAGTGAACTCGGCTTACGTTTATTCTGACGCATGGCATAATGCGGAATATGCACAGAACTTAAACAATTTTCAATCACTGACGGCGCTCTGGAAACAGAACTGATTAACACCACCGATAAGAGTTTCCATGTAGTTAGCTTGTTGCATTCAGCGTTGAAACACTGCCAGTACTCACTCTGTGTGGTTAGACAAGTGAAGTGCTGCTACGTAAGCCGTGAGATAACAAAGAACGGTCACTACCAGTTAGATAAACACCATAAAGCGACCTGAAGCCAACACCACCAAGCAAAAACCAAAGGTTACTGCACTCAAGCGACCGAAGAAAAGCAACAGTATGAAAACATGACCGACTATACAGCCACTCAGGAAAGTGCAAAGACAACGTAAGCAGAACCCGTACGGAAAATGACGCTGAGCAGGCTACATATTTTACCTGTTTCGATTTGCTGCGGGTCATTTTTCTTGGGCATTTGATCACAAAATCCTCGAAGCCATCGAACTGGATGGCACGAATCACATTTAACACATGTTCGTTTTTAAATAAATGCTGAAGGAACGTAACAAACGCATATTAAATTATCAACATAATGTCGTATATGCTTACGCGTAGAATACTCTTGATACATGACTGGTTTACATGACAACTTCGAGCCTTCTCTTCAATTTCGGCATCGAATTCTTCAAACATTGTCGTCAAGTCAGATGACTGCGATCCGCCATTGCCACTATGGTCCTCGGCTGGTTTCAGAATATCGCCAAATAATTCTGGAAATTCTGAGGCGAATGCGTTTTCATCCAGCCAAGAAGCCGAATCCAAGCCTTCATCTTCGCCACGCAAAAAATTATCATCTGCATTTGACCAATCTTCCATTAAACTCTTCAGACTACCTTCACACCGAATTTTCGCACTACGGGATCCACACCATTCGACGAATAATTATCAGAAGACTTCCGTCGACTAATTTTAACCAACGCTACCAAAAATTAAAATAATCACCTCGAGGAACGGATACACATCTATATGCCAAAACCAGCACGAACAGGAAGCATACTTAAAGTTCGAGCTGGCCACCACTTTCAACAGCACAAGATATCCCAAACCACACAAACGATGCGAGTTAAACAACGCTGAACACTGTAATGAATGACAGGTTACTTTGAAACATATAGCATTTCTAGGGCGGGAAATATTTTTGATCGATTTAATGAACGATTGCATGTATGTACATATTATTTTCCGTTTAACGAACTATCTCGAGGAATGGGTTGTAAGTAAAATCAAAAAAACTTTTAAACTACAAGTCCGCTAAGTGACAAGCTACATATTTTGAAGCACCACAAGAAGAACTTGCGTGCGTACAAATAAATTTCCAGTCCATATTTCATTTGCCATTATTGCACGCACACACAATTCAGCTCTTGCCAGTCTCAAGCCTAGATGAGCATTCTAGACTGTGGCGAGCACTCCCCATAAAACCTAGCCACCTGGTTTTCGTAGTATTGCCGCTATCCATATTAACACATGCTGATCTAGTGAATCGTTGATGTGACATTCATGGCGCAAAGTTATCATATGCATGATCAGCTTGGTCGTTCAGAACATTTTATGTCAGAACGAAAATCAGTGCGATCACTGTTTCACTTACCACAGAGTTAAATCATTCATGACAAGGAAACTGTGACTTGAAACAAATTTAGGAATCTCCTAATTTGTTTGGAAGAGCAAATACGCGGCCAAAGAAATGCAACCGCGGTTGTTTACGTGAGGTTAAAAAAATAATATAAACGCTAAGTGCTTAATCGCCTTTCTGGTAGTAGATCATTATTCTTTACTCACAGGAATATGCCTTGCAGCATCGATATGCCATTGGCCAAACATGCAATGAAAAATTATTAGACAATTTTGCTTCAACAATTGCTGACCACTCATATACAAGGTTTAAGTGGAAAACCCCTTAAGTGTCTGGTGCTCTGAACCACGTATATCAATATATTTATTCTCTTTAGACTACTTGAGAACAAGTCTATGAAAAAGTGACAACAAATGATGACTCTCTTGTTTTGAAGCCTTCTCAGTTTTTAGTCAACTTTAAGGATCCTTAAATAGCTTAGCGTCTTTATTTTTGACAGAAAACTCCTATGAGGAACATTAACGAGGCATTCATATACAACGAGATATTCACGCGAAATATTTTTTTTAAACTGTGGGAAAAACGTTTCGTGTGACCAAAATTGTTGTACGTGATGTTTGATTTTGCCTGCCGATTCTGACAACTGGTCATATGAGAAATAATCTGCTACGTTTCAGTTTCGTTCGGCAGTATGAGTTCAGTCATTTTGCTCTCTTTTCCGGAAAATGTGGGTATACAAAGCGATAGGACGGGGTGAAGGGGAGAGGGCTGCTGCCTGAGAAAATACTTGTGCCAGAGTATGGGCTGGCTTGTATTGACAGCTGCGCATTTTGCGCCGAGATATATCTATGATATTAGAAAAGAATGCTGATTGTCATGGTGAAGAAAGTATTGTTAAACCGGGAAGTTTCAGGGATTCAGAGGGTGTGTACGAATGAGTTGCGCATAGCTTCAAAGGTGCCGCAAAAAATTGCGCCATGTGACAAGTTACAATGCTGTAGCGTCAGCCAACAGATGAACGACCCGCTCTCGGAGGCAGAATGGAAGGAAGTATACATTGTGATTGCTTTGATTTGTTCTGTGCATATAATGCTGATGTTCTTATCAGTGAAGTGCACGCTGCTAGATGCTTCCATTATGCGTTGCGCAGGTTCTGCGAATTTCATA